AATTTTTTTTAAAGAATTTAAAATTAATAACTAAATATTAAAAAAAAAAGTGGCAAGCAAGTTTTTTTTAGGCTCACTGGCTGTGGCCGCTCGGTCCCACCGAGTCACAAGCCGGCCCGACTTCGGCTTTTTCCGGGTGAGCCAGTGAGCCATTTTGTCATCCCTAACGGCCTCTTTACTGCACAGAGTAAATTAAAGATAGCTATCTGAAAAGGAGAAGATTTAGTTACAGCCACAACACCATAAAGCCGTCACAAGCTTGCATATGAATCTCCTTGGGTGGCAAGTGGTGGATTGGGTTACCGTAAGTAGTATGTATACAATATACATGCATAAATTACGCCTACACCATGGAAAGCAATACAGGAAGATAATGATGAAGAGGGTCTAGATTCAAGCTCTGCCACCACCATGGAACCATTTTTATTGTGGTGGGGTGTATTGATCTTCTTCTTCCCGATTATTGTGTAAATCCACCAAGAAAGTGCAATTTTTAGACAATCGTGTTTTTTCTTTTTCAATTATCAAGATGATTTGCAGTTCTATATGTTTCTTTTTCCCATGCCCATTTCACAATCCTTAACAAATAATTTCTCTGTAAACCACTGGGTTCCTGGAACTGCATTTAATAGAGGCAAAGAAATGGTGTGTGAAAATAGGATGGAGCAACAGTTGATATGAACTTGAAAAATGGAGGATGGTGGCTTTGCTGGTGTGTCATGTGATTTTCACATGCCCACTTCACAGACAAAACAGGTTCCGCGCAAGGACTAATCCGCACCAAAACCCGTAAGTCGGGGAGCTTGCTGCCAAAATAATTAGAATGGGATGACATTGCAACCAACCCATAAGTTGGGGACGAATGGCGCGCACTCCCTTCTTTTTTCACTAGCGAATTTATTATTTGGTCCAATTCTGTCTTTGTTGCAGAAGAAAATTCAGTTGAGATAAGCAGATACCCTCACAAAGTTGCATGTCTAGTTCTTAATTTCCAGGAAATGCGTATCTGATTTATTGATGTGCTGTGGAGTTGCTTCCCTTGTGTCCACTTGTCATGAGTTGTCATTAGAGCACCACAGAAGGAAAAAGCAGTTCAAATACAATTTTTTGAAGATGAAAGTCTACTAATGGGAGGCACTGTTGGATATTTCATTGGAGAATACAAGTTTTCTTTAACATAGCTTCAAGCTTGACAGTGCAACAAACAGTTTTACTCATTTTTGATTTTGTGATATATCCTGGGAGACAAATCCAAAGCCCTTGAACTGTTGCCCACGCTACTTTGAGATGCAGCTTGATACAGACCTCGCCCTCCATTCGCTTGGTAAAGAGTTGAATGTACTCTTGCGTGCCAGGAAATTCCACTCGTAATTACATTTAGGTTGTGTTTGATAGGGTGGAAATTCCGTGGAAAATGGAATTGGTTTTCTATTTTTTAACTTTTTAGGTATTTGATAGGGTTAATTTTCTGGCAAAACTTTTTCCCGCCTCCCCCCACACGTGCACATTTTCAAGGCTTGTGTGGAAAACCTTTTCCCTCATGTTCTGATTTTATTTTATTTTTTTTGCAATGAAAACAAATTTTATCTCCAAATGTAAAAAAAAAAAAAAAAATCATTTAATGGACAATTTCCATAAAAAATAAAGTCAAACGAACACCAAAAAATTCAAAATTTAAATATTTTCCATGTGAAAAATTATACCAATAAAATACAATTAATTACAATTCTCAGTAAAATAATTTTTAAGCAATTCAATTCCTTGGAATTCATTTTCTTTCCACTCATTTTCCATCTTTGCAATCAAACGGACCGCTAGACTTGGAAGATGGAACGAGTCAAAACAAGCCAGTTTCGGAAGGTTTTGGTTCTAGTTGTACTCCGTTGTTCAACCAAGTGAAGCATTTCACAATAATTTATAAAAAAAATGTTTGGCAGATTCTGTCAACTTTTAATGGTTCTTAACCAATTTGGAAGTTAAGCAGAGTAGCAACTGCAATAACTGACAGATACAAGATGTATATCGAACCAACACCAAAACATTACACATCTGATTACTACCGTTGCCTGTAACGTTGATCATTGGACTGATGTCACAAGAGAATCATAAAATAGCTCAAGAAAAGACATTTCGAGCAGTTCAGAATACTTGCTTGAATGTAGATAAATGGCTGACTAGCACTTGACTTTAAGATAGCGCGTGCTGCGTGATTATATCAGTAATAGACTATGTACATAAGCTGAATTAGGTATCACAGCTGCTCTAAATTTCGTCAACAGTTTAGATCTAGATATGACGTAAATTGCTTTAGAATGTGTTCTGTTATGCTTATAAGAAAGTCAAATATATTTTTTATGAAACTTATTCTGCTATGATTTTCAAACTAACTATTCTAAAAAAGTGACTTATACGCAGAGTCAAACAAGTTAGAAATAGATGTGAATGAAAAGCTCATTTCTCCAAATTCTCAATAGATAAGTTAACATAAGGAGCACAGAAATTATTATGGACTTCACCAGCAATGCATTCATTTTATATTCAAGATCACTAACTGGAAAAGAAGAGAGTAAAAGAAAAAATTACAAAAACGGTCCGAGATTGGCATCATAATTTTGATGCTAAATTAGCTTCAGTAAAAGGGTAAACTGGTTTCAATTCAGGCTGCAGCAGTTACTTCTAGGCTTGTCCCTTCTTCTTGTAATTCCTTCACTGCATTTATAAGAGCAGTTGTTCTACCATTGAGAGTCAAGTCATTCTCTTTCATCTCTTCTCGTAACTTCTCCGCTGTTTCCCAATCTAAAGCCTTCAAGCAAAGAGATTTAATGAGCTTATTGTACTCATCATGATTCGGGTGAACTCCATAGTCCTTCATCTCCTGCAACAAATTCACAGCCACATCATATTGTTCAAGCTTGCAGAACCCACGAATGAGTGTATGATAAGTAACAGGACTCAGCTTAGAGTGCTTCTTTTTGGCTTCTTCGAAAATCTTGCATGCTTCCTCCATTGCACTGCCCTTGGCATAACCACTCATAACGACACTGTAAGTGTATACATCAGGTTTCAAACCTCTGCTCTCCATCAGTCTCATTATTTTCATAGCTTCATCCATGTCCCCGACTTTTGCAAGCCCGCTGATGACTGTATTGAAGATGGCATTACCAGGAGGTGGACCCACATCAATCATCTCGTGGAGCAATCTTTTTGCCCTTTCAACATCTTCAATCCAACACAATTTCCGAATGACACTCGAGAAGGGTTTAATTGCATGCATTCGATCTTCTGTTGTATAATCATTCAACATCTCTAAAGCCAAGGAAACAGATTCCTTATCAGTTTCCTTATCAATTTCCATAGGAGTTTCTTTATCAGTTTGCCGAAGTCGACAAAGAGAGCTGATCAAAAAATTTACGGAAGACCGAGGAGGATATATTTTCTTATCCTTTGCAGACAGATAAACTGAGTGAGTGTGCATCTTTAGCCTTACTTCCTCTGCACAAATAAGAAATTATTTTCCCAACTCTATCGCTACTCGGAAGTTTATCCTCCTGTACCATCTTCTCACATACTGAGCAAGCCCAATCAAAAAACGACCTCTTACAAAGAGCTTCAATCGTAAAATAATATGTATCAGCATTCAAGATAGGTCCAAACTCTCCAAACTTATTGAACACATCAAATGCTGCCTTCCCTTTCCCTAACCTCGAAAATAGGGCTATTAGTTCATTTAAACTCCCCGTGCTCAGTACGCCCTTCTCCTTCTCCCCAACTTCCTGGACAAGGTCCCACAATGCATAAGCTTCTCTCTTCCTATTTCCCTTGCATATTGCACTAACAAGTGCATCAAGCACCCGTTCAGTCACCTTAAACTCCGATTTCTTCAAAACCCACCTGGCAAAACCAATTAAACTCTCACCTGGAACGTATGGTGTTTCAAGCACCATAATTACAAAATCTTCATTCAAAATCAAACCCATTTTTTCGAAGTCCTCCTCTAGAGACCCATCAGCGGTAGCACTGCTCTGAAGCAATGACAATAAACTTTGCACCTTTTCCAAATCATTCTCCTCCATTTTTTCAATTTTATCATCCTCCATTGTGAAAGAATCAAACCTTTCGACCATTGGGACAGAACTCTCTTCAATTTCAGCAGCCAAACCATCATTTAACTCTAAGCCATCCGCATCTTCAATGAAAATCGAAGACCCAGCTTCCAATTCCGCCGAAATGGAGCTCATGCTTTCATCAAACACATTGTTCAAGCCCCCGGAAAATTCCCCGAACCCTTCATTGGGTTCCGAAACGGAAGATTCTGCGAGCTCTTCCTCATAATTTTCAGATGGGTTAGACGAGAACAATCTTGCGTTCGGATAAAAATCAGATTTTCCACATACCCAGGTGGAGAAATCCGATTTGTGAAACAAGGATTCAATACATGGTACACTTAACTTTAGAAACTCAGAGTTGGCTACCTGAGAATGAAATACTGCATCCCGGAATTTCTGAGCTGCCGTTTTCCTACTGAGGAAAGTTCTTCTTGCTAGTAGCGATGACGGTCTCCACATTTTCACTCTTCACCTTCGAATCTTAACCCCCCCTATGTGACTGGGTAGAAATGAATTGCTGAATAACCCTTTGCAGTCCTCCTAATCTCTGATTATTGGGGTCATTTACAGAACTGAAAATTAGCCCATATACGTTGGGTCTCTAATGGGCCTAGACATGGACTCTGATGGGCCAGGGCCTTAATTCAGATTACATAAATTAAGTTACTTTTTTGTGAAAATTACACAATTCCACACTTTCCAAGATATAGGGTGTGTTTGACACACATTTTTTGAAGAAAATTTTTTTAGAATAGTGATTGATGGAAGAATGTGTGGTGGAAAAGTTTTAGATTTGTGTGTAATATTATTTTATTGAAAGAATGAGTAGTTGAAATGAAGTAAGATAAAAAAATAAGAATGAGATAGAGAATTAGTGCCAAACATGGGCTTATATTCTAAAATAAGATCTAAACTTTAAATTTTCAAAAAGAAGATATTTTTTAATTAGATACATTATAATTATATATATTATAAATATAATTACCCAAACCCATCATAATATAATTACCCAAACCCTAATCAAAATATTTTCATCATCTTTTCTCGTCTCACTGTGTTCTCTCTCCTCACTCTCTTCTCCCTGCACTCTTCTCTCTTCTTTGCACACAGTCGTTTCTCCGACGCATCCATTCCCAAGACCTTGGCGCAGTACCGCCACAAGATGGAGAAGCTCCACACGACGATGCTGGGGAGACTCGATGTTCCGATTTATAGGATTTCATCCTCCGTGAAGGTTCGGATCTGCGGCGGCGTTCTGGTACTGGATATGCCGAGATGTTCTAGTTCTGGTAATGGCGTTGTGGTGATGGCGAAAATTTTGTGGATTTGGTGGTAACGGTGGTCGGGTACGGTTGTGTGGTAGATCGGCACTGTTGGTGGTGGATCCGGGGTTGGGGAGGTGGTGGATTTGGCACTATTGACGGTGGTGAGATGGTGATGTGCGGTGTTGGGTGCGGTGTCGGTCGCGCCGACGAGATGGGGTTGGAGGTGACACTGATTATTTTGTGAGTAGTTATTGGTGACTGTGATTGTTGGTGGTCGTGATTAGTTTGTGCGTGCGTGCGTGCGGCGGTGGGTGTCGGGCATTTTGGCGAAATGGGGTTGGAGGTGATTGTGATTATTTTGTGCGTGTAATCGA